GTGTGTGTGAAGTTTGAACTCGATCAATCCAAGCATGTCTCAGATACGGATCCAGAACTGAATTCTTTAAAACAAAATGGCCGCCAGTCGGCCATTTCGAACCCGATCCAAAAAAAAAATGACGTGCATCAAGGTCCTATTATGTTTAATGTATGTACCAAATTTGAACAAAATCCGTCCATGCATAACTGAGATCCGGGTCCGGAATGGTGAAAATGTGCGATTTTGATGCATTTTCGGCCTTAAAATGGCCGCTATTCGGCTATCGTTAATCGGATCATGAAAAAAATGCATGTGCATATGTCCCATATAATGTGTGATGTATGAGTGAAGTTTGAACTCAATCGGTCCATGCATGTTCGAGATACAGGTGATCACGGACGCACGGACGCACGGAAGCACGGACGCACGGACGCACACAGGGCAAAACATAAGTCCCCGTTTTCGGACTGCGTCCGAACGGGGACTAACAATGCAATGACCGCAACAAAATAATGAAGGTTTAGGTTTGTGAATAATACAGTAACTGGCCCATGAATTCACTCGTATCAACCAGCAACCATGTTAACAAGTTATATCAAGTATAACTCCATAATATATATTTAGATATAACAAATGAAATAGTTTGTTCGACCCGACCCATTGCGATTTTGATCCACATCAAAAGATACAACATCATAATACTACCTCCCCTTCCCTCGGAGCTATACTCGCTTACAGTAGGCTAGTAACCATCCCATTATTGATATTTTAACGCTACGTTCGGTACAGAGGTTCGGTAACTCTGTGGCCATGTGGACGACAAAGCACCTAAATTCATGATCGTAGCGTCCTGTCACAGGCGCTCGGTACGTTTCTTGGATAGTAAAAAGTCGGTTGGTACATACCGACGACTGACTAAATGTGTCGACCCTTCTAATTATTCAAGAAATGGCCCGAGCGCCTGAGTTTCCTGGGGGACAAGCTATCGCAACAAATTACTCGAATCCCTTTGTAGCCCGTATATTATATTTTAAAACCAGCCTGCATAGAATTTGGAAACATAGTGTACTTACCGGCATTTTTTATTTTCTGTGTACACTACAAATAGTGGGCACGTTTCATCCCATCCATTTCTTGAAGGACACAGAACTCCGCAATCCAGTTTGATGCCACGGATACATCCGCGGTCGTCACTTGCAGTATCATAAACCAGATGCACCAGGAAATTGTGCCTGTAGAGTGCTTAAGAGCAAAGTTCTATTGTGCTCTAGAGGCAATTCCATCGGTTCGCCGTTTTCTTTATCAGCAACTTTCAAATACATTGACATTTTGGCCATGTATACAAATACTAGCAATCGATACAAAAATGGCGGTCAATTTGCTTGGGGAATTCTGGGATATATTGCCAACTTCCGTTTTCATAAACAAAGTTTTGTTTCGTGAAGTGAAAGTTGTGTTTTTAAAAATTAAAGTTGTAGTCTGAGAAAAGAAATTTGTGTTGTAAGAAATTAAGTTTCTGTTGCGAGAATTTAAAGCATTGATTTGTAAATTAGTCGTGTATTGGGTGTTTTTTTCCTTGCTTTGTAAATTAGAGTTTTGTGAAATAAAATTGTGCTGCAAAAAATTAGATTTGTGTTGTAAAAGATTAGGTTTCTATTGCGAGAATTTGAAATTTTGTTTTGTAAATTCAAGTTTTGTTTTGTAAAAATAAAGTTGTGTTACGATAAATTGGATTTGGTGTTGCGAATATTTAAAGTATTGTTTTGTAAAATAATGTTGTACATAGGAGAAATTAAGTTGGTGTTACTGGAAGTGGAAGTTTGCTTGTGAATTAAATTTGTGTTTCGAAAAATGTAGTTTGTGTTGCGGGAAATAAAACATGATGTGACATCTGTGGACCACCGTAAAAAAGTGATTCAAACAGACGTTTTGACTACTCAAAATGACTGTCAGTCACAGTTTTATGCAAATGTAAGATGTTAATCCTGAGTTGTTTGTTCATATTTATGTTATTACGGAGTTGATGATGTAAGTGATATCATGGACAAAGGCGACAGCACAAAATTTTGCATAGAGGAACGAGATCTGCTTAAACCCTCTGAAACACTATTTCAGGAAATTTTGCTGACACAAAGAGTTTTAGCTTGATTTTAGAGAGGAGGGGTGACCCCCCCCCCAACAAATTTTTTTCGAGGAGGCGACCGCCCCTTCTGCCGCCGCCATTGATGGCTAAAAAGAAATGATATGCTGTGAGCTGTTTGTCCGGCCACTTCAGGGGCGTCGTCGGAGCTCCACGAAGTGGTCTGGCCAGAGCGAGTGCGGGTGGCACTAGCTGCGGTGTGCCTGAGAGGGAAGGGACTGTTCATAAACATTCCAATAACTTCATTAGTGTATGTGCACAAAAAAACACGTTCATGGTTACAGGGCTAAACTTGCTCCACTCTAATTTTTCCAGCGGCTACAGAGGTAAACCAGGTCCATTGTCGATGAAACTATGAACCAAGCTGTGGGTACTGGCCTAGATTAGTTCATTGGCGGATGTGACAGGCCTGGCTGGTCACTATTTCAAGTCCACCGCGATATCCATATAGTGAGACATTCCAACTGCCGGAACTTGCTGAATGACAACTTTCACCGTGATTAATAAGCGTTGAGTCTGAAGAAAGTAATGTCACGATTTGACCTTTATGATGGAATACTAGTAGTGATGTCATTCTTAGCCAATCAGTAAAGCAGATCCATAAAGGTCAAAGATGATTGCTAGACTGTAAACAAAAGCATTGTGTGCCATCGCAGCAGAACGACCCCATTTTTCTTGTCTCTTTATTATGATTAGACATGAATGAAAAGTGCCGAGCTGACAGACTGCGAAATCCGTGGATTAAAAGTGCAAATTGTGTGGGACGATATCGACGAACTTCAGGAATAAGTTGTAGGGATTTTGTTCGACGGCTACAGTGACGACGACTTGGACATTTGAGGAGGGGTGGCAAGGGGGATAGCTGGTACAGTTTTACGGGAAATAAAAAGGGCTTTTTACAATTTACAAGAAAAAAAAAGACATTTTTACAGTTTACAGTGAAAATTGAATTTTGCAGTGAATTGTGTCATCTAGTCGTCTTACAGTTTCGAAAATGTAATTTTCCTGGAATATTCTTTACGACTTTTTTTTATTTTGATGTAAATTCTTGTACATACCGAGAAAAAATACACATGTTTACAGTGTACAAAAAAAATATTTGATTGATTACATTGCCCCCCCCCCCTCTTTGAGGGTTTTGAGTTTGACGAAGATGGCAATGAACTTACAAATAAAGATCTGAGAAGTTTTTTCAAACAGCTGTGAATTTTTATAATTTTTACTGTGTAAATTTGTAAATTATTATTGATCTTGTATGACGGTTGATTCGTAATTTGTCGAGCCCGGATATCATTTTACGCAGTTTAACCCCTGACATTTTAATTCATTTTGAGTTCACGCGTATTGGGCGTGTTTGTCGACGGGAAAATCCTAATTCAAATGATTCCTCGCTGTCGAGTTTTATTATTTCTGGTTTATTTGTCACATTATAAGCAATACATTATTTTTGTTTTACTTCTAATGTTGCATATTGTTCATTTATTTCCGTTGCATGTTTTCATTTGCCGTTCTATTCCCTGCCGCAGTTCGATCTGCGTGTTATCAATTTTCGCGAATATTCTTTTTTTTTGCTGGGGATCTCCTGGCAAACGCCCACCCCTTCTTTTTGGCAATCTTCCATGTTCAGGACCCTGGGCTTATACCCGGATAAATACGGTAATATGATAATAGCGGAGCTCGTCAACAAATACATCCCCGACAATATGTCGAGTATGTTTCTTGAATTTAATATTTAAAAAGTACAAATGTGTCTCGAAATAAATAAATTGAATGATCCAGCAAAAAAATTTCTGATCCCTGAAATATACCCTCGCAGTGAAATGATTGGTGGCCGACAACATTGCATAAAAAATGTATGCGCATCTGTGTTCAAGAATCCCCGGGATTGCATCAAAAATCTATTCACAGATTTATAACTATACAATGCACCACCTATCGTGGTTACTTACCAACTAATGGGGCTTTGTTTTCTAATAATTCTTTATAACTTTTAGATAAAACTCCTGTTGGAGAACTAACACTAAACTTTCCTTGTTTTACAATTCGTTCACATGTTTTCATTAATGTACTCGAAAACTGAGAAGGGTCAACACCATAGTCTCTCCACCCTCCTACTCCATCAGCAACACCTAGTGAGAAATGAGAAAAATCAAATTATCACATTAGTGTATATGCACATATGTCAAGTACTATATTGGGCTTGAAGACACCTCAGAGTCGCAAAGTATCAATACCTGGTCAGTGTCATAGTGGCACCAAGATCTTCTGTTCATTTTGTATTTGCATTTTTTGTGATAATACTGTACTTGACTGTGTTAGCGCCCATGCCCAGTCAAGTGCCCACCCCCACTTTTGCCCAATTTTTATATTCGGGGTCACATTCGGCAAAACGCCCACCCCTTCAAAATGCAACTAATTTAAAACTTGGTCTTTGATCATTGCTCAACGAATACTGGTAATCGTTTTATATGATACAGCATGGATATCGATATTGACCACCGTGAATATGTTGTGAATGAGTAGACCACGGTAACTGTGCATTAAACTACACTTGGACAATCACCTGTTAATGAAAGTAAAATGCATTAAATATTTCATGCCATATTCAGTTTACCTATCAAAAATTGCAAGTTACCAGTTTTAGGAAAACAAGCCATGCATGGCACAGTCCCCGTTAGTTATCAAATTTAAGATATATAGTTATGTTTATAGTAATATAGCTGGAATATAACCATGTCAGGAATATGATTTTTTTAACATTAAAATGATTGACATTTGTATCTGATCCTCAAACAAGTACTTGTCCATATTGAGAGATATTGCTCTGGAACAGCATTCAAAATCAGCCATTTTGAATACATGTGTGTATATATATATATATATATATATATATATATAATATGATGTATAACGAATATATACAAGCAGCCTATCATCTGAGATAGCTCTGCTGTTAGCAATGCACATTTCAATTAAAGAACTGAAGACATCATTAGAAAATGAACAAGAAGTCGAAAATATCACTTTTTACCAAAAATGAGGTACATTTACACCAAGTATCAAAGCATTCAGGCTTGTAGTTTTCAAGAAGAAGTCGAAAAAGTAAAACATTGACACGGACGACGACGAATGACGGACAATCACTCATACGATAAGCTTCGCTCGACAAAGTCGACAACTGAGCTAAAAAGGCGCAAAAAAGGTGAAAATAAGTTGCATTTCTGATGGTTCAGGAATACTCGCTTTGTTCAGTCAGAACTACACATGTACAAATTTATAAACACTTGCACACTACCAACAGCTCCTTTTTGCTAGTCCTTCATTTTGTTGTATGGCAAGCCAATCCCAGTGGCTGATTCATTTTTTTCAAATTAGTTATTTTATTCAGTAACTAAACTTTAAAGTATCTGCTGATAAATCATTTTTTAAACCTCCTGTCTGGAAAATCATGTGCTACCACAGCAGGGATTAAGATGCTGAAGGTACATCAGCAATTTGCTGCTATTTTTTCATAAGGTCCTAATTTAGTTCAAAGAACCTAGTAAGTATTCTCTAGAAATGTCCCATGATGCTAGTTTCCATTTCAGAGAAAATGTTTCTAGCTAATTTTGAAACAACTGAATCTTGACACTCATACATATAGGTGACCCATCAGACTTACACGGCAACTCTATAAAACACAAACAACTGAATCTTG